CAATTATTTTAGTTAGCATATAGCTAAAATCTAACCATGGTTATATAATAGCAGCTGCATTCTGACGTGATAAGCTCTATGTTTTATATTCAATTAGCGTATGATCCGATTAGTCGACTAATCGAATAAATAATCGGTGATTAATCGATTATTAAAATAATGTGGCAGCCCTAGTTGTAAGCATTTAAAAGGTGAAAACAAAAGCACCTAAGCTAGCTCGGAATAACTCAGCAAAGACACACCGTGTGTTTGAAAACAAAAACACAAGTGTAAAAACTTTCCTCCACACACAGGCCTGCTCAGAACGACTCAGCCTCCCCGCCTTCGAGCACCAAGACCCGGCTGTGTTGGGCTAGCACAGCCCGGTGTGTCGCCCCCTTTCAACGCTTCTCCACATCCCCACATTTTCGACGCCATTTGTTTGCGGCAGAACGTGGAAGTAACAGAAAAAAAAAAGAAAAAGAAAGAAAGGAGAGAAAGGGGGAGGATGAAAAGACGACATTTTGACTGTAGTTGCTGACCTAAATTGCGCATTTTGTGTTCGCCATGATGACAAAAGCCGCACAGCGACAGAGCGGGACAGCTAACAGAGACAGGCTGCGAGGCGGAAACACAGGAAAACAGCCGCTGAATAAAGCGGGTACATTTAGTCGCCTGGTCAGGAGGAATTTGATAAGTTAAAACACTCCTCCTCCTCCTCCTCCTCCACCTCTTCCTTCTTCTCCTCTCCCCCCCTCCTCCGCCTCGCCGGGCCGGACAGGACACAAGTCAACGCTCTTTTTTCAGCGCCACATACGAAGCGGTGTGTTTGTTAAAAAAATAAACTTACGGTAGAAGAAAACAGCGACACTCACCTGGTTCCAAAACGGGTTTATGGTGGCGACGTGACAGTGTTTAGCGTGAAAATGTGGCACCAGTTGTCGGCGGATCCCCCTGTTGTGTGGAGCAGGAAGGAGGGAAGGCAGGGAGGGGAGGGGGGCTGACGTGATGAATAAACAACCCAGCTCCTCCTCAAACACACAACTACTTACAACCTCGACTTATATACTCTATAAATATATTTATTTAAATATACAACGAATGACACGTGTATGTAATGCCAGTTTTATTTTCCTTCAAATAAAATTGTTATATTTCCCCTCTCTCTGAAATCCACGATTTGCGCAGTTTTAACAGAGCCCACCAGGGGGCGCTGTTTCCACCTCAACCAGTGAACCATTTAAATGGTGCTGTGCTGTAAAATGATGGATTAAGGAGGGTGTTGGCCTCTGGGCTATAGCCATTTTGGGGACTGATTGCTATTTTTTTGTGCACATTATTTAAGGATTTCCAGACATAAAGCAGGTGACACAGAAGTGCTGTGTACTGGTTAAAATGGTCAGGTTTGCATGTTCTCCACATGCATGCACGTTTTGTACCACAGACCAAAACCATGTATGTTAAATTAAATTGGTAACTACATTGTCCATATGAATGGCAGTTTTCTTGCTCAGATAATCAGCTAACAACAAAATTAATTTTCATTTAGCGGATTAGCCTTTCCACTATTTGGAAATCATTAGCAGATCAATTGGCTTGCACTAAATTGTGTTTTGCTAACATATCAAGTAGGCATTTAAATCATTCTGTCATGGTCTAAAGTGGAACTGCAATGCTTTGGGTTCTGAATTCCTCCTTATTGTAGCTCCACAAGTAGTAGTAGTAGTAGTAGTAGTAGTAGTAGTAGTAGTAGTAGTAGTAGTAGTAGTAGTAGTAGTAGTAGTAGAATTTATTCGTTTCATTTGTAATACAAAATTAACAAAGTTCAAAAAAAACGTACAATCAAAATGAAATCAAATGAAATGAAAGGATGCAGAAGAAGAATAAATCTTATAATATCTGCCCCTTTTTTATACCCAAAATATGTTCAAAAGAAAAGTAAAATAC